AAGTGTACATATTGCTATACACCTACAGTACACTGTTAAGTGTACATATTGCTATACACCTACAGTACACTGTAAAGTGTACATATAGCTATACACCTACAGTACACTGTAAAGTGTACATATTGCTATATACCTACAGTACACTGTTCAGTGTACATATTGCTATACACCTACAGTACACTGTAAAGTGTACATATTGCTATACACCTACAGTACACTGTTAAGTGTACATATTGCTATACACCTACAGTACAATGTAAAGTGTACATATTGCTATAAACCTACAGTACACTGTTCAGTGTACATATTGCTATACACCTACAGTACACTGTTAAGTGTACATATTGCTATACACCTACAGTATATATATTGACATTATAGGATATACACATCTGATATTCTAATATTGAATTAGATATTTATATATTGACATTATAGGATAAACACATCTGATATTCTAATATTAAATTGATTACACCATTACACGTATACATTGCAAGTGAATATTTTTCATGAGAAAGTAATATATTTACGTATATCATATATAATATATATATAGTGTGAAGCAGTCCCATGGGCTATATGGGAGATATTCTGTCTTATATCTATCTATCTATCTGTCTATCTATCTACGTGAGAATGATGTCCCAGGGGACCACTGTATCATGAATATCTGATAAATAATCTTATGTTCAACATCTATTCTCATATTTATAAAGTTTCGTCAAGAAATTGATAAAGGAATTGGATCAATGCTTTTCAGTTCACACAATCTATATAATCAAGCTCTTTGTTCATATTTGTTATTTTATATGTTAACTAAAGAGCTGGAGAAACTGCTGGACCAAATTGGCTGAAATTGTTTGAGGGAACCCATCGGTTTGGGTATCTTGGGGATAACATAGGCTAAAATAATTAGTTTTTTTCCAAATAAATTTTTTTTCTTCAGAAGGAGTTCAGCTATCCGTACATAGTTCAACTACCTAATAATTCCAACCTCTATTCACAATAGGTAGTTCAGCTATCCGTACATAGTTCAACTACTGCTTACTACCTAATAGTTCCAACCTCAATCCAATTTTAAGAGGTAGTTCAGCTATCCGTACATAGTTCAACTACCTAATAGTTCCAACCTCTATCAACAATAGGTAGTTCAGCTATCCGCGCATAGTTCAACTACCTAATAGTTCCAACTTCAATCCACATTTAAGAGGTAGTTCAGCTATCCGCACATAGTTCAACTACCTAATAGTTCCAACCTCAATCCACAAAAGGTAGTTCAGCTATCCGCACATAGTTCAACTACCTAATAGTTCCAACCTCAATCCACAAAAGGTAGTTCAGCTATCCGCACATAGTTCAACTACCTAATAGTTCCAACCTCAATCCACAAAAGGTAGTTCAGCTATCCGCACATAGTTCAACTACCTAATAGTTCCAACCTCAATCCACAAAAGGTAGTTCAGCTATCCGCACATAGTTCAACTACCTAATAGTTCCAACCTCAATCCACAAAAGGTAGTTCAGCTATCCGCACATAGTTCAACTACCTAATAGTTCCAACCTCAATCCACAAAAGGTAGTTCAGCTATCCGCACATAGTTCAACTACCTAATAGTTCCAACCTCAATCCACAAAAGGTAGTTCAGCTATCCGCACATAGTTCAACTACCTAATAGTTCCAACCTCAATCCACAAAAGGTAGTTCAGCTATCCGCACATAGTTCAACTACCTAATAGTTCCAACCTCAATCCACAAAAGGTAGTTCAGCTATCCGCACANCAGAGGTTTACATCTTTAGATAGAAACTCCCAAACAAAGCTCCTGGAAACCAGTCTTCGTGAGGCACGTTTTCCAGGGTGAGAAATTCTGTGGATTGAATCAAAAACATTCTTTCTCATAGCCTCAGGAACCAACGGATTGTGGATCCCTGTAGAAACGTCGCAGAGCAATTCTTGAGAGTTGGAAACAGGAACGGAGACAATCTTCAAAACTGAGGACTGGCACAGCTGTTGGACCTTCGTGCATGATTGTTGGAGCACAGACATTTGTATATATGAAACACCAGGAACTGGTGGTGGGAGAGAAGGAACCAGAGGAACAGAGTTCATCACAGGATCCATCACCGCCAACACCGCCGACACCGCCGACACCGCCGACACCTCAGGGACTCGATCATCAGGAGGAAAACTTGACGGAGTAGGCTGAGGAGAAAAATCGGAAGGTTTTGACACAGGTTTCGGAGCGGAGCTAGCTTTAATTGGACTCAGAGAAATCAAGGACGGATTTGACACAGGTTTCGGAGCGGAGCTAACTTTAATTGGACTCGGAGAAATCAAGGACGGATTTGACACAGGTTTCGGAGTGGAGCAAGCTCTACTTGGACTCGGAGAAATCAAGGACGGATTTGACTCAGGGCTGGACTCAGTAGATGCTGGACAGGACAGGGCGTCTGCTACTACGTTCTCTGTTCCTGGGAGGTGACGGATGACACAGTTGAACTCAGACAAGAATGACAGGCGGCGTTGCTGCATGGCGGACCAGGGCGGAGAAGTCCTGAACAAGGCATGAGTTAGAGGTTTGTGATCAGTAAATAAAACAAACTCTTTACCTTCTAGGAGGAACCGGAAATGGCGGAGGGCGGAATAAGCAGCAAACAATTATTTGAATGCTTAGATGAGAACCCGGAAATAATGAAAAAATAAGATCAACTGAAGAAACTCAACTTAAACTCAATTTTAAAATCCATTTATCTTTGCAACCTGAAAAAATTTGGTTTTTGAAACGAAGCCGTTTTAATCTGGCAGAATTCAGAGCTTACGTTAACAAAAGTCTACTACATCAGGTTGCAAAGATATAACAATTAAACATTACTATAAAACACTACTAGAGAACTAGAGAACTAGAGAACTAGAGAATTAGAGAACTAGAGAACTAGTGAACTAGTGAACTAGAGAACTAGAGAACTAGAGAACTAGAGAACTAGAGCACTAGAGCACTAGAGCACTAGAGAACTAGAGAACTAGAGAACTAGACCACTGAGAACTAGAGAACTAGAGAACTAGAGAACTAGAGAACTAGAGAACTAAATAACTAGAGAACTAGAGAACTAGTGAACTAGTGAACTAGTGAACTAGTGAACTAGAGAACTA